TTTTTGTCATTTATTTTATTATTTTATTTATTTTAGTTTTTTATTTGTAAATATGTTCATTTGATTTTTTTTATTTTTTATATTTAAATCAATTTGGTTCTTAAAAAAAATATTTTATTTTAATTTGTGACACAATTTTGAATCAATTTTGATTAATTAATGATGTAAAACTTGTAACATTAAATTTAACTATATAAAAACTATGAAATTTAATTAACCATAGAAATAGTAAAAATTGTAAAAAAATATGTCTCATAAATAACTATAAAATAATATGAAATTATATTTTTTGAATTTTTGAATTTTTTCTAAATTTTTTTTATATAATTTTCATCATATTTATAATACTTTTTATTTACACTTGAGTTGTAATCGAGATTTTTTATATAAGAAAATCTAATAAAAAAATAAGTTTTAAGTATTGAATTAATTAAAAATATGTAAAAATAATCATTCTTTCAAAAAAAGATAAATTAGTTCAGATAAGAGATAAAAGATTAAAATAAATATTTAAAAAATAAAAAATAAAAATAAATTTAACATATAAAATAAAAAATAAAGTATAATTTAAATTTAGTGGTACACAGTATCATCTTACGTATGTAGTAAATAAAAAAAGGAAAGGTAATGAGAAGAAGATGGACTATTTGTTTGATGAGGTCATCATGCACGTCAGATTCATTGTATTCTACATTAACAGACAAATCGATAAGAAAAACAAGGTTGAAAGTAAACCTCCAAATGATCTGCCGCCACTAATCAACGCCCTACAAACTCCTCAGTTGTCAAAGCATTGAAGATTTCTCCATCCACAAATTTAAAACTAGTATTTAATATATCAACACAAATTAATAAATTAAACTACTCTAATTCAGACTCTGTGGAGCAAAAAACAGCACTGTTGCAAAACTAGAAACAACCTTAGATGCTAGTGCTTGATACTGGATATTTGATGCATAACATACCTCTGCAGTTGTAAGATCTGAGCCATGGGAATAATCGGTTGTCAAAGCAATGGATCCATGGATGATACCAAGTTCAGCAAACCCATGCCATGGATCGGCATATACATAGCAGCAGCATCTCTTGCTTGCCTCATAGCAATAGCTGCAGATCTCGTACATGGAATCCGTGGTCGAAAGCTTTGGTTCCCTTGCAAATTCTTCTGCCTCAACGCCACTTCCTTGGCCCTTATAGCTGTTGCAGTGAAGTTATCGGTGGATCTCAACACCCCCATGCCTCACCGCAACGATCAGCTTTCAAAACTCAGCAGCAGCGCCTTGATCTGCACAATCATGGCCAATTCCATGCCCACTCTCGGCATCACGGAGAACAAAGACACCATGATGAACCTCATGGCCATGGCCATCCTCGTTGTCACCATGATTGTCAACATCTGCATCCAGTTTGTTACCGGCGTTATCTATGTCTTCTGGGTGGAACATGGTGTCATCATGCTCATCATGCTCATTTTGTTGATGACCATGACCTCCTCAGCCATAAGTATTCCAAAGATGAAGCACTATTTTGAGCTGAAGTATAAGATGAATGAAGAGGCACTTAAGGAAAGTTCAACCCTATTTAGGGAGGAGGAGAATCAAATCGTGAACAGACTCAGAGATCAACTAATGAAATTTTGGATGATGACTCACACAAGCAGCCCTCAATTTGTTCTTGGAAGGTCAGTGACTTGTACTGCCTCTGGTGGGTTCTGTCTTCTGAGTACCTTGACATTAGTTGAGGCCATGCTTAGGTCTTACCTTATGCCATGGTCGTTTGAGTTTTGCACCGGTGACTGTGACTACAAGTGGTCCATCATCTTGATTCTCGTAGTTCAGGTTGCTGCGGTGGTGTTCGGTACTATTGCTCCTGCTTTTAGATGGTTCGTTGTCATAAGTTATAGGTGCCCAAGTGCGAGGAATGGGAGCTGCAAGAGAAAGTTTCACGTAGAAGGGTACTGGACCACAAAGCTAGTGAATATCAAAGAAAGTCCTCTTGGTTTTCGAATTCATAATAGGCACTACAGAAAGCTGGCTCATGATGCAAAACTACTTCTATTGTGTTTCTGTATTAAACTTCAGGTGGGGATTGTGCTGATGTGTAAAGCCACTCAATACGTTTCGATATACCTGATGTGCTGGATCTTGACGTGTTATGATCATTGCAAGAAGTTGAAATCCAAATTTGTTTCTAGTGTCTCAAGGGTTAGCTCGGGAACAGAGTCAAGGCCTGGCCCAAAGCTTGATTTGAGGCGTTTTGTTTTGCATCTTGAAGGTGAGGAAGAATTCGTTGAGGTGATGATGAATCATAATCGTGATGCCACTAATCACTGGGTTGAAGTAGGAGAAAAGAAGCAGCCAAAACTTCTCATTGAATTATTGGAGAAGTGTTCTTTCTTGCAAGGGTTCAAGGGAGTTGGAGCATTTGACAGTGACCAAATTCTTTCTTTACATGCAGTAGAAGCTCCCCATAATTGGTCACTTCCTCTGGTGACACTAGCTAGCATTGCAGTGGCCCTTCCAAACATCAATAGGAGTTCAGTCAAAAAATTGATTAGTACAATAAATGAAGGGCTACCCTTTGTAAAGTTCATAGAAAATAACCTTGACAAAGAAAGAGATTTGTTTAAACTCGGAAAGGCTGCAGAAATTGTGTGGCTTGGAGTTGATCTATATGGCAAGTGGCTAGATGTGGATCTTCGTGAGCTCTCACTTCAAGATAAGTGCCCCAAAGAGACACTTGAGAAACTAGCTGATGCTGCAAAAATCAGTTATGAGAAATTTAAAGTCAAATATAAGCACATATGCATAAAGTTAAGCCCTTCATTATGGCCCAGCAAAGTATCGGCATCTCACACTATGTACAGAATATGCAAAACTGCTCTCTTAAATCATGAACTCATAAGAGACAACACGAATGAGAGGTTGTTCGAAGCACTTACACTGATGATTTCTGATATATTGGGTGCATGTCTCACCAACTTACCCCTTGTTATATCCAACAAGTGTTTGAATAGCACCATTGAAGAGAGGGAGGATACTGTAAGACATGCGGTTTACATTCTTGGTAAGACCAAGAAGATTATAGAAATGCTAGAAAAGAGAGCATTTCCCCACGTGGATTTCTGCCGAGGGACGTTCATTGAAGATTGGCGTTTAATGCATAAGCAAAAGAGTCTTTTGTACTTTGTTCCATCTTCACCGGAGAATGACACATATACATCTCCTCACAAATCAAGTGATTTTTACCTAAATATTGACTAAACGCCAGAGCAGAGGTACTGGTGATTTACAATTTTGTATATTGTTGCTGGAAAAGCTTTCAGATTTTGCTTGATGTATAAAGTTTAGGTAAACTAGGATAATTTAGGTGTAACAGAAGCATTAAAAAAAATTGTAGAGTAAATCACTAGTTTTTGTTGGAGTACCATGTATAAATTGTAAGTCTTGAACAATTTTTTTTTCAGGTAACTATATTATTAGTATCAATTATTTATCTATTTTATTGATAATTAATCTCTAAAAAATCTAACTGACCTACCTTTATTAGAGTCTCCTTTTTTAATAATATTTTTTTATTCACAAAATTCAAATCGGAAAATTTGTTTAAGGAGATTTAATCCGGTACTATTCAGACCAACGACTTGTTGAAATGTGTTGAGTACTTCTTTCTTGTTTCTTTTGTTCAATATGGCCAAACACAAGCAGGTAAGCGCATATTCATTGCTCAGGTTGCTTCAATAAGATATTTGTATCCTGGTTCACTCTGATTAAAAATATCCAAATGATTTCCCTTCAACAGTAAAAAACTATATGGAATCGATCTTGACTAATTAACCACCATATCAGCATTTCATCTTGCAAACTGTGGTTGCAATATGTTTCCAACAATTGATGTTTGTTTTCCATTCAATTCCACGATTAATGTGAATCCAACAGTGTCTTGCATAGTCCATTTCTGTTTTCATATTTAACTGAAAGTACAGCAACGTGAAGCCAAGCAAATGGATCTGTTTATCATTAGTTCCGAAACTAGAATGCTATTGCTAACAAATAAAAGAAAACAAACATTTTTACATATGGTAACTATCGGGATCAGGGTACAAACTATTGTCTCTATAGAAGATTTATTAAGGGATATGCTTCTATTGCAACGCCCCTCAACGACTTTCTCAAGAAAAGGTGTTTTCGATTCACTCAAAAAGGCTATAACTTCACTATCCCTTTCATACTTTAGACGGACGCTTCCGGAGTGGCTATGGATATTGTTTTAGTGCAGAAAGGACATATTGCATACTTTTTTGTCCTCCAACGAGGATTTCACATCCTTAGTTCATCAGATGCTGTCTTCTCCCACAGATCAACTTATGTTCAAAAACAGTACATGTAACATGACTCCATATTTAATGATTTAATGATAGCAAATGAAATGGATCGATGCTGGTGGCCATAATAAACATTGAGTGCTGCTGAAAATTTAATATTTTCATACTTATACATGCCATTAATTTCTGAGTTACAATTAATTTTTCTTCCAACAATATTAAACAGACATAAAAATAAGATAAATTAATTATTCTTCTAATTGCTGGGCAAAAAACCTCAATAGTTATAACAATGATGACACTCAAACTAAAACATGTTATCCAATGCATATTACTTATATCTTCTATCAACGGGTCGATACATCAGAAAGCACACTTTATATAAACTACTCATTTTAAAGATAAATTACATATTAAAATTGAAAAATTATAATAAAATTTATTTAATTTAAGTTATAATAAAAAAATAATTTCATTGCACATATATGTTAAATATTTATTATGTATAACTAAAATTTGTAATAAATTATATACAAATAAATATCATAATTAAATATATAAATTATATTTAAAATTTGTATAAATTGATATTTAAAATTATTCTAATATGAAATCTCCTCTAGAAAGACTTAACGGCTGGTTTGATTTAAAACGTGTAAAAAGTGATCATGCTTAGAGTTAGGAATTCCTATATATACACACCAGACAATATTATAAATGTCCTTTTATTTCTTGCCATGATCTCACAAATCATGTTGTATCATTATTGTTATTAATAAACTTATAAATTTTGACATTTATGTTATTGTCATGCCTATTTTGTAAATTATGGTGCCTTGTCTCAGTTACTTACAGGGGGTGGTTCAAAAATCGATTAAGTCTTTTTATGAGGTATATTTGACAAGTCAATCAACCATCAATCGAATGGTCTATTCAATTCAATTGATTAGTAAGAGATTAGTACAATATAGGGCCTTTTAGGATCGAGTGTCAAAGGTGTGAAAAGTTAAAGCGATTAGGTTACTTGGTCACTAGGAGATCAATACAGTACATAGCCCTTCAAGTTTGAGTGTCAAAGGTGCAATAAGTCTTAGTGGTCAATGGGTTGGTGCCATGTTAATTTGTCTTTTGGCTTTTAATAATTTTGACTTGCAGTTTGCCCTTACATTTTGTTACTTGCGACTTTTGGTTGATTAAAGTGTTTTTGGTTGCTTATTCATATATCGATTTAAATATTTTCGATCGATTTATTAATTATTTGATTGTGTAGGCTTTCATACTTGCTCGATTACCAACTAAATTTTTATTTACTGAATGTGTGTCTATCAGTTCAATCATGCTTATTGAATAAATTACTAATAGGGAGTTAGAGTCGATAATCAACCAACTTCTATGTTTATGGAGTCGGTGTTGTTAGAGTTGAGTTTTTGTCGTGTATTTTACTCGACGATTATCGTAACATGTTTTAGAAAATGTCTTTCACTTAGAGTTAGTATTTAATCGAGTGTTTCATTTGTGTGCAAATCAAGGTTTAAACGAGTGTAGTATCTTTTTGAATCGATATCACTTAAAAGCGAAAAATTGTGTGATTTGGTCATTTTGTACTTCATGTAGGATTTAGTAAATGATTGACAATGTTCTGAGTGTGCTTTATCAATAGCTTCATGTTTTGTTGAGTTAATACTTGTTCGATTGTATTCTCAAAATAGTGTCTATTGGTTTCTTATTGTGATTGATTTCAACCTTTTCTTTTTGTGTCATTTTATTTAGTGCGACCTCAAAGCGCTCAAGAAACTAAGGTATTAATTCGTTTGTTGACCTTAAAATGTGTTTTTAGTACTAAGGATGTATGTTGATAAAGACCTTAAAGCGCTTTTCAAACACAAAAAATAGCTTTTGTTGACCTCAAAGTGCTTTTCACACCAAGGTTTTTTTGTGTGCGTGTGTGGACTTTAAAGAGCTTTTCATGCATGGGCCTTTTCTTTTTCATCGATGTTAAAACTCTCTTCATGCCAAAGATTTTTCTTATAGTTGTTGACCTCAAAACGTTCTTCACGTCAAGGATTTTTCTTGTAGTTTCCGACCTTAAAACACTTTTCACATTAAGGTTTTTTTCTTCTTATCATCGACTTTAAAATGCTCTTCACGTTAAAGATTTTTCTTCTTGTCGTCAACCTTAAGACGCTCTTAATGTTAAGGAATTTTCTTCTTATCGCCTATCTTAAGACGGTCGTCATATCAAGGATTTTTCTTCTTCTCGATAAACTAACATACTTTTATGTACCATTAATGAAGTCATTTGTCTAAACACATTTCTAGTGGGCGCAAAAATGTTCTGGTATGGAACCTCCTCTAGGAAGACTTAGCGGCTGTTTCGATCTAGAATATTCAATGAGTTTTGTAAAAACTAATTTTCTTTTATGTTTAGGAGTCCTTATATATACACTAGGCGATATTATGAATGTCCCTTATTTCTTGTCATGATCTTGCAAATCACGTGATATTATTATTGTCATTAATAGGCTTATAAATCTTGACATTTATGATTGTTATCGTGCCTATTTTGTTTTATGGCACCTTGTCCTAGCTACTCATGGGGAAATGATTCGAAAATCGATCAAGTCTTTTTCTGAGGCATATTTGACAAATCGATCAACCATTGATCGAAGAGTCTACTCAATTCACTCAATTGGTTTCGTTCACAATCCTTTACATACGAGTGCTAAAGGCAAAAAGAGTTAAAGTGATCATGCTACTTGGTCACTAGGGGACCAATACAGTACAAAAGTATATAAATTATATTTTAGATTTATGATAAAAAATTATATTATAGCATAATATTATTTTTATTTATTGATAATTTATTTTAAAAGATTAAAAATTAATTTATAGATAATTATGATAAATAAAAATTGAATTAAATAAAAAGTTAAAAAAAATTTCTAAAAATTTTCTCATTCAAGAAAAACTCCTAAAAACATTTTAACATAAACTAGAGATTTATACGAAATATAAAGAGTTGATTTTTTTTATCAATAAATGTTAATAATTAGTACATTATATATGAAAATATTAACTTTCATTTTAGAATAATTTAGTTATGTGAGTATAAATAATTTACATAATATCTTAGATTTATTAATATAAAATGGTAAACAATTATTGTTATTCAATTATAATTTACCATGTTAAATATTATTAGAAATTAATATTATAAGAATTTTTTTTAACAATGTATAAAAATTAAACACATTTTTTAAAATATTGCACAACATTAAAAAAATTTTAGAATAAAGATTAATTTATAACAAAGATGATTGACTTTTTTTGCATAGATAATTTTTAAGATAATTTTAAACTTTATGTATTATAATAATTACATATTTTTTTAAGTGTTAAATAACTCAATAATTTTATTTTATTAATTTTAATAAAAATTATTATTTATAAAAAATTAATCATATGTCTCACAACTTTTTTATATCTTCAAACTCCATTAACAAGTCACATAATTTTTTTTCTTAAATTTTATATAATATATTAGTAGTGATGTGACATATAAATATAAAATATTTTTTACTATTTATTTTTAAATATTACCAAATATCATGTCATAGTTAAATAATACAAGTTATGTTAAAAATAATCATAAAATTAAAATTTCATACTTTAAAATCTAGGAATTGGATATCTTTATTTTAAAAATAATAAAATCAAATTGTGCATTGAAAAAAATAGAAGGACGCAAAATAAAATATAACCGAATAAAATGGAGTTAGTCTTAAAAAGTATATCAACGTGGTTAAGCAAACAAGGCTTAGTTGGAGTTGCGAGCAAGAAACAGAAGCCTTGATTTTCTTCTATTTTTGGATCGTCTTCACGAGGTTTAGTTTTCAGAGTTCAAATTGGTAAACCTTGAGGTTTTGAGTTTCCAAAATTATTCATTTCCTTCGCTGTAAGAAGTTGAATAATCGTCGGAACCGCTTTGTATCTTTCCCGGTTTTTTAAGGAAAGATTGTCTGCAATTACAACTTTTCCCTTTTCCTAAATTCCGTTGCTTGTAAGAGTTGATCGGAAATTCCATAAAATAAAAAATCTGAACTTTGGGGCTCGTTTTAATTTTATATCTTATAACGAAGAATAATTTTCTTTTCTTAAATAAGAATTTTATGTGTAGGCCATCTTCAATCTTCATCTTGTTTGTTTGTGACTATTGCTCGGTGTTTTTTTTTTTCTTTTTTTTTCTCTCTCAAAGATGCCCCTTTTATTTATTTATTTGTAAAACTTAGTGTTTTTGATTTTGAGCGATTAACGAATTACTTTACCTTTGTTGGAAAAAATGGACGATGCATCATCTAAGTTGTGATTGACTTTGTTTGATGCTAATTCCAGGAAGAATGACAAAGAGTTACTTCAAACAAGAGCATGATCTTGGTATATGGTGTATTTTTACTTTTTTTTTTGCTTCTGAAATTTATTTGCGCTGTAAGCTGAATACTTTACAAATAAATGGTTCATTTTTTTCTGCAGAGAAGAGAAGAGCTGAGGCTGCTAGGATTAGGGAGAAATACCCAGACCGTATCCCGGTAAGAACTAGTTCTGATTTTTCCTCTGCAACTATTTGTTACTGATGCGGTCTGTAAATCATTTTTTTTATCAGAAAATTTTCAACAACGACAATGAAGATCGAAATTAAATTCTCGTACATTTAGCAATCTATCCTAACTCCCGCTACTTGGTTGACCTAGTAATCCTGGTTGATCATAAATCATATATTTGTGGCAGAAGAAATGTTTTTCTTTTATCTGTTTAACCTGTTGAGAACCATTGCTTTTCAATTTCTATGACTGTTTTTCAACCTTAAAGACGTGTTCTGACTTCTGATGTTTAAACTTTGTCTTTTGTCTGTTGTCTCTTTCATGTCACAAATTGACAGCTTACTATAGTACTTGACCATTGTGTAGGAATATTACTGGATGTGGGATCTAGATGCTTCATTTGCAACCCTTAATAGTGATAATTGTATGTTGTTGTGTTGCATAATTTCAGATTTGACATTCAAGACTGTATGTCGTGGTGTTGTACATTCTGGTGATATACTTTTTTGGAAGAGCACTTCTATACAAGTCGAAATATTTTCTGAGTTAATGTCTAAATTATTAAAATATTATTATCTTTTAATAAATTTATTATAAAATATATTCTGGTGATATACTTTTTTGGAAGACTCAAAATGTTGTAAAAACAACTACTGAGATCCCCGAGTCATGATTTGATTGGTTGGTTTAGTCAGTTAAATTCATGGTTGAATAGGATAATATTCTGGCGAGAGTGAAAGTGATTCTTTTAGAATTTTTCTATGAGAAAAACTTTTTTTATTTTTGATACTTATATCCAAATAGACTTATAGTAGGTTATGGTAAGATCAGATCTACTAGACTGTCTGGCCTGTTTGGTTTTTAAAACATTTAGGCATTGTATCACATGCTAAATTCTGTCTGGCCGTGTTTGGTTTTTAAAACATTTTGGAATTGTATCACATGCTAAATTATCTTGTGACTTGTATTACCAGTTTTTTTTCTTCTAATTTTGATCTCTGCATGTATAAATTATCTCTATACGGAAATCCTTTATTCAAGGTTAAATATTATAGAATGAATTCAACTAAAGGAAGAATGTTCAAATGATTTTGACTTGTGAAACTGCATTTGTGGCCTCAAGTTTGGCAGTGATAGATCTCTCTGCATGTATAAATTATCTCTATACGGAAATCCTTTAATCAAACGTTGTATCAGTAAGTCAGTAATGCAAGCATGGAGTATCTTATCCCCTCAAGCTATTTTTATTTGCTGCTTCGAACTGGTTCTTCTTCATTTCCTTACACAATGCTGGGAGCCTGAACAGTTTCATTTAATTTGCTCTGATTTTAATATCATAGTCACATCATTTATGTTGTTTGGTGCCAATTTAATTAGACAGTAATATCTAATCCAGCTGTCAGTCGAGGGCAATTCTTGTTCACTGATGCATCTACTTGCTGCCTACTGTATATGTGATACATGAAAATGTACGTCAGCGATATATCTCTAGTTACTGTGCTAAAATGTCCCTTGATGTGCCTATATAGGTGATTGTGGAGAAGGCAGAAAGAAGTGATATCCCAAGTATTGACAAGAAAAAGTAAGAATTTGTCAATACTTTTCATATAATCAGGAAATGTCACATTATTTGTTTCTACTTGTGTTTGTTTCTTCTAAGGGAAATAAGAATATAGAAATTTTTGTATTGTTTGTATTAAAACGGAGGTCGTTGGCCAAACTCCAAAGTAAGAGGAAAGTGAGAAATCATGGTTCCATTTTTTTAATAGCAAGAGTCTCTGGATCTTCAGGAATTTTTCTCTATTTCTCTATCAATGGCTGCAACCATTGCAATTTGTAGGCTTAGAAGCTTACTCCAATATGTTTTAGCTGATGAAATTTTCTCAAAATCTACATTGGATTGAAAGTGTTTATCATGAAAGTTATGCTTACAAAGTTCCACATAAAATTAACACTTTTTTACTCCATCCACTGTTTTAAAATTAACATACAACACGCTTTTCAAAGAAAAGATAATTCAAACATTTCATTTGTTATGACTTTTGAGTAACTAAATTATGAATCAGAAAAACAGAATTTGAATCGGTTGTCTATTGTTAAAAGAATTTGATGTTATGAGTATTGGTTCTCGCATAGCTTGGCAGTGATAGATTTGTATTTGCTGCCTGATGATAACACAGATGGAGTGGACTACATTTCATTTGTTGTAATATTTCTACATTCAAATGCTTTTACCATTTAATTTTTCTAAGGTGTATAATTGGCATAGCTATCATATGTCCTTTGTTTTTTGCTATCAAACTGAATGAAATAATTGCAGGTACCTTGTACCTGCTGATCTGACAGTTGGACAGTTTGTCTATGTTATCCGCAAAAGGATTAAATTAAGCGCAGAAAAGGCAATCTTTATCTTTGTGGACAATGTCCTTCCACCTACAGGTAAAATTTCCGGAAAATAAGAATGAGCCTGTCTTTTTTATTTTATTTATTTTTATTTTTATTATAGACTTAGTCCATACATTATTCCAAAATTGATAATTAAATATTAATTAGTATTCGCGGAATGTGATTTCTGTGACTAAATAGTATTTTAATATAGACAAAAATCGAGTTTAATTAAATATAAATTAGAAATATTTTTGAAAATTTCTCTATCAAAAATATCTCATTATTTTCACAAGAGAGGTTTTCAAAAGTTCTTCTAGACTTGTATCCAAACATGCTCATTTTCTTTCAATTCTATTTTATTTTGCCATATGATTCTTTAGCCTTCTATATGATTCTTTAGGCTATAACTTTTTTGTGTATCTCAATCTTTTACAGGAGCAATTATGTCTGCCATATATGATGAGAAGAAGGATGAGGATGGGTTTCTTTATGTTACATACAGTGGGGAGAATACCTTCGGGGATCTGACTTCCCACTAGCATTTTATAGACTGATGCTAATCCATTTGCTTTAATTTCTCACTGGCTTGTTTCATAAATTTGCATCGGTGCTCGATGTAAAAGAACATTGCTCTCAATATTATGTACAGTTGTATATAAATTCTAAGAAGATCCTGTTTAATGTTAAAATGTTTCCTCCTTTTCAGTCTTGCAACATTTTCCTCGGTTGTTCATTGTGTATGTCTGGGATGTTCATGCTAATTGTGAATTGACATCTGGAATGTTCATGCTATATGTAAATCGATACTTTTGAGTATTTAGTTGATATCTATTTGGATAAATTTCTTAAGTATTTATAGGAGAAGAAAAAATGGAATTTTTTTTCAAAAGATAAAATTAATATTATTTGGCAGAATTTTGTCTCCATTTTCTTGTAGACTATAAGATTTATATTTCAGCGAGCAAAGGAAATTGGAAAGGGCTTGAGGGTAAGGAACTAGAGTTTTTAAGAACTCTTGAATCTCATTTGGAAACCCGTTAAATACTGTGTGAGGAAGATTGTATTATAAGTATTCTCGGATCAAATTTTTTTGGGAGTTACGGTCAAATTTTATTCCTTGATTTCGTTTACTTGATTTTATTGCTTAAAATCTGAATTCGCTCGTGGCATTTTTTCTCTTTCACTCCCTTGTAGTGATGTCAACATTGATCTTTAGTCTGTTAGGTCAAGCTAAGTTGGGCTTGTTTAGGTTTTAAAAAAGATTTGGTCAATTCGGCTCAGTTTGGCTCAGTTTGATGAACTAATTAGGTTTAACTAGAAAAAATATTAAGTCTAAAATGTATCAAGTTTATTTGTCTCGATATATATATATATATATATATATATATATTTTAAAGATTATATGTAAAATTATTAATAACATAACAAAATCACATAATTTTTTCTGTCTATGATGTTAATACCATATCAGAATCACTTTTTGGATATTAGTCTTATGGAAAAATAATTAAAAGGAACTAATTACACCCATAATTTTTTTTTATTCACGGGAAATATGATGACAACACTAAGATTTAAACCTAAATCTAAGATCCTATATATGTATATTATAACTTCAACCCACCATTAGTGGTTCAATTACACCTATAATGAATCATTAAAACAATTATTTACATTAAATTAATGCATTTAACGCATGAATAACTATTATTTAGCAATTAATAACGTACAAATAAATATTTATAAAGAGAGAATAAATCCTTACTTTAGGGGGAAATTGTCTAAAATACCTGGTTTGAAAAGTTCCTTTTTATAAATAAAAAGTGAGTTTAAATTATGTAGTTTTGAGTAAAAAAAAAATTCTAAGAAACTATTATAGAATATAATTAAGGGTATAATCGTATAAACAAATTAGGTTGGGTTTAGATAAATCTATTATTTGACTCGGTCAAAATTCAATGATTGAATTGTGTTAGGTTTATGTATATGTTTTTGAAATTCAACTCAATCACAAATAGATTGGATTTAGTTGGATCAATAGGATCAACATAATTAAATTTATTATTTGTTATAAAAATTTTAAATATTTCATAATAAATGTAAATCATTTGATATCTTATTGCAAATGCAATTTTATCAATCGATAAAATAAATAATAATACAAACTAAATTTCAAAATAAATTTGGCGATTTGTTACATTGTTATTAGTTCAAACAACCAATATTAACCCCAAGCGTGTGGTTCAGCGGTAGGGATTGATCCATGCTTAAGCAAGGTCAGGGGTTCGAATCCTGTCTTGTGTATGCAGCCGCGTTACAAAACAAAACTAATATTTTAATGTCTCAAAAGTGACCACACTAACTTCTTCTTCTTCTTCTTCTTCTTATATATGATTGAGTCGAATTGGGTCATGGGTCGAAAGTACAAAATTTGTTACTTAACCTATTCAACATTGGATTTTGATTAGACACAAAAAAGATTTGATATGAACTCATTGGTCAATTTGAGTTAATTTGAATTCACGAGTTATCCATACTTGGTTACACACTTAAATAAAATATATAGATATGTGGCCAGCTATCCCACCCTGATCGACGGTGGATACTCCAGGAACGAACAAAAAAAAAATATAAATATAAAGATTTTTCAAAAACTATACAACTACACCAATTCAAAAACTTATTATTAGGTAATTAATTTTTTATATATATTTTTAAAATATATGAAAGTATGAAGTACCTTTTTTACACTAATAAATTATGATATATAAGAATTGAAGTAAAAAATATTAGGAATAAAAATAATAATAAGTGATAACTAATTAAAATTCATTTTCCAATACACAATAAATGAAAAGATAGTAACAAATAACGTGACATTAACTATTAAGATATAAATTGGTTATTTGTTCCAAATTTATGCAATTGAGTAATTATTATAATCTTATAAATACCTTTAATTGTCTATTAATATTGATTGATACAAATAATAATGATCTATATTCTTTAATCAAATTATTTAAGATTTAAATTTAATAACCTAATTATTCTTAGTTTAATAAGGAATATAAGTAAATTAAATGGAAGAAAGTTATTGAAAAATGTAAATATATATGTAAAAATAATTGAAACAAAAATAACAATAAAGTAGCATAAATGTTTTTTTTTTTTACACCAAATTAGTATAAGTGTTAAAATTCAAATTCAAATGCACAATAAAAAAAAAACATAATCTCAGTCTTTTTAGACCCAATTTTAGATACACCTTTGGGACACCTATTCACGTGAGTACTAAAATTTTAGTGAAGCAAATATTTTATTTTTTAATCTGTTAAAAAATAAAAATATTTTTTTAAGAGTGTTAGAGAGGTGTATTTATCTTATAATGGGTGTCTACGAAACTTTTTCTTCTAATAAATTAAAAAATTACATTTTGGTGAGAAATAAATAAATAAATAAAAGACGTGATAGTAGGTAACATTCACCAAAGTAGTTATATTTTTTTAGGTAGGGTTTGGTTTGGTAGGTTTATATTATCATCAAGCATTCAGAACGTTCCAGCTTCATCACGTGTGATGCTGCAGTTCTCCTTGACGATTGATCCCTCTTCTTTCTTTCTTTCTCTCTATATATATCACTATCATTTTGTCAGTTAAGAGAAGTTGTTTGGCAGAATGTGGCTAATGATTCAACATTTTTTTATTTTTGGAAGAAAACAACAGGAAATTCAACCCCAACATTATCTACAAGCATATATGCTTAATTAATTGTGTAGGAGGATTTTCCCGTATGACCAATGATACTATTTAGAAGTTGGCTTTCTAAGGTTTTGTGAGTAAATCTTTGATGTTTTGGATGATAGGAGTGTATGAATGTGGATAGGTGGGGCTGGTCTTTTAATATGTTAAATCTCATGTAGAGATCTGAGTAGCAAAATAACTGGCATTGCCTTTTACACCATGCTAGGAGCAGATGATGGTAAATGTTGAGCAACCATACATACAAGACAAATTAACATATTACAACTCATTTATGGAAACCTTAAAGTGTGTTTAGATAAATAATTTAAATAAAGTAATTTATTTTTTTAAAGAATTTTAAATGTTTTGGAATGAAATATTTTGTTTGGATAAAGAATTTACAAAGAATTTAAAATTCACACATTTGTAAATTTTTTTAGAATAGTATAATTTCAAATTCTCTAAAAAAAGTAAGAATTTAAAATTGCTTATATTTTTTCTTTCTTATTTTATCTATATATCTTTTATTTTTCTCACATCTCTTAATTAGTAAATATTTTTAAAAAAATAAAATTATTAAATGTTATTTAATATTAATTTTTAAAACTACTAAATATTTTGAAAAAAATGATTGATAATTATTTTTATAAAATTTAATCTTAAAATCTCAATGTATATATATGTATATATAATTAATTTTATCCATGATGAAATGAAAAAATTACCATATTTAAAATAAAAATTTAAAATTAAAAAATTTAAATTGACTTATACAAACAAAATATTTAAAAAATAATAAAAATTAAAATTAAAATAATTTAAATTTCAAATTTTCAAAATTTTTAAAAATTAAATTTTATCCAAACACACAATTCATCCTCATCGACTCTCTCCACGTTTCCTTGACAAATCCCCCACAATCCCGCTGGGAACAAGGCATCACAAAGTCCAATTAATTGTGCACATTTTAAGCCAATCAGTGGAAAAATTAGTTTGGAAGAAATTGTTTAATTGTTTACTGAAAACCCAAGTCTGTGGTCTCGGATAGTCTCTTAAACAAAGCATGATATTATTATTGGGTTGGTTTAATTTTATATATTTGTCAAATGGAATCTTTGTGTTGCCAATTACTATGTTATAAATTATTCTTACGAGTTTAATAGTGATGAATAGACTTACACAATTATCTAATCATAATTTATCATAAATATAAATTTGTTGAGTTTTAGAATATTATAAATATAAGATTATGTAAAACTTTTTACAATTAAGCCATATTCATATTCATAATTATTTATTACGTACCAATTCTGATAGTTAACTTATATATTTAAGAATTTATGCATATCATATCATATAAAAAGAATATATTCATATCTCATAAAAATTCATTTCAATACTCTATGCGCCGCATGGGTAAAACTAGCTAAGATATACATTGTTTATTTGCTCAAAATTTAATTAAGCAACTATACTCGAACAAATATCCTTAGTTGCCCACAAAGTTTAAATATCAAATTTATTCTCATTTTCATTATGAATATAAGTAAAATAGATGGAAGAAAGTTATGTTAGAAGTATCTGCACAATGTTAGAAGTAAGTGTTTGATAACTTCCTTTTTAACCTAAAATTAAATAATAATATCACCCACTACTAATTTAACAGTTAAGTAAATCTCATCCATTAATTCTGATATTTGATGAACTTGTAATTGTATACATTTAAATTGGTCTTCTCTTTACTCAATAAAATACACTTTTTGCATTTTAGTTCTTTAAGTCATAAAGAGTAGTTTTCATTCTTATGAGTGTGAGAAGGATAAGGAGAAGAGAGAGAAACCAATTTCATCAATTACATTAAAGATTAAAGAATATAGCTTCTTCTTCATCTAATCCGGATATGAAATTCACAAAATTTCAAGATCATGTATGTTTGTATGTTTATGCTTGAGGTTTTAAAATAGTGAATGTTTCCA